ATATTTTTGTCGTAGTTTGCATTTCGTAAGCTTTCTTCTGATGTGTAGTTTGCAAGGATTTAATGAAAGTATCGCGCGTACGAGTTTTCTCCTAAGGACACCCGCGAAGGTGGAAGTAACCTTAAGTCAGTCTTGATAGGATATTCGACCAAAGAAAGTCGGTGATAGTGTGACTATCCCTGTGGCATTACAGTCTGATAGATATATTCTTTCAAACTGATCCCATTATTATTTTTTACTGAATTGGATAACTTTGACATTGATGCATCCTTGTCCTTGACTAAAAATAAACATTGCTGATTTCCAAACACATACAATGTTGGAAGGTTGCTAAAGAATCACTGGATCTCGTGGTAAACTAATTCCCCTAGTTCCTCCGTCTACGTGATCAACGCTGCGCCATCCTTTATCAAGCCAGAAATATTATTCAGCAGTCGAGCGTGTATTAGTGTTATAATCGGTTACAATGTGGCCGGGGCAAAGAGGCTGCCAGAATTATGTAGTCCGAGACCAGATATGATACGACAGTACACCGCAAGAGATTACATATCAAATGTATGCAGTAAACCGCGGATACAATATGTAAGTGATTTCTTTGAACGCGTCAGTTTTTTAACCATTTTCTTTTCTTACCCTGTGCTGAGAGGAGACCAATATATCACAGACTTGTTCGTTTTTCGGTGAACCAGTAACTATCTCAAGCTTAACAAATAACAAGTCAAATATTTTGGTAGCCTTATTCTTGCTTTTCACGTGACGTCACAGATTATGCAAATTAGTTGATCTGCCATGTTGGTGTCCCTCGAAGCGTGTTATCACTTGTAAATTAGAGGGAAATATTATGCCATTTCTACATTTCTTAATTTGCTGATAATCTTGCGACCTCTCAATGGATTCTGAACTCGAAGACGACTCGGAAAAACTCAGCAAAGCTATCCCAGTGCTTTCAGATTACGTGAAAGGGCTGGAAACTCGAGTTAAAGAGCGATATTTAGCAAAACTATCTGTTATCGGAGTCGACCAGGCCAGCATCCCGAAAGAGCAGTTTAACGGGGAATGTCTATCTCCCATAGAAGTTTCTGATTTGCTTGGATATTTGGTTCTGGAAACGAGCCATCATACGAGAAAAGAATTCAAGGCCTACAAAAGTTTGAACGCTTATAATCAAATGGTTTCGGGGTTCGTCCAATCGGTAAGAGGAAAGCTGATTCGCGATAAATATTACGTCGTGGTCGGCAAAGTTCGACAAA